ACTGTATTGTTCCAATCACTGCAGACCCATCAACATTCTTGGCACTGTCAGGGCAAGTGCGAGTATTGAGCTCTTTTACCCCCAGGTTGTAAGTAGTGTACTTCTGGTTAACTGTTGGTTTTCTGTTGAGTCCACCAGTTTTTACAAAATTCTCACTGTAAATAAATTGTTGGGCTTTCTTCACAAAATGAGCTGCCAAGTGAAAATACCTTCTATTCAGTCCACATGAAAACGGTTTTAGGCCAGAATTTGATTAAATTATTGCAGAGATAACATTTTTAGATAACAGATTTACTGAATTGGATCTTTGTTTACAAATTAAATTTTGGCCTGAAATGGGTTAATGTGGGTCACAAATCATGCCTCCATTGGAAATAACTACTGTGAATTTGAATAATTTTGGGTAGGGACCTCCGAAAAACAAAACAAAAATCAAACAAGATACGGTTTAGAAGGTTTAGAATGAATTTTTTAAAATGAAAAATCATTCTTGAAGCTTTTATTTTAGTTTTAATTTCAAGCTAATTGATTAATTTAATATTTCCAATGAGAAAAATACTTTGCTGTATTTCAAAAACTAATTTAAACTGACTGGAAGAAATTTTTTTTTTTTTGTAAAATAGCTGATTAGCACAATTTTTTTAGTTGTCTTTCATCACAATGTGATTCTCTTTATTAAAAAATCTTACAAAAACAAAATATACTTTTCTGAAACTTTATTTTTAGAAATTGGAAACAAATATTATTTACTTTAAATTTAAAATATCACAGAAATGCATTTTTTAACCAAACAGTAGCTGTGTTTATATGTTTGACAAGTCTAATGTTATTCTACAGAGAATTTATTTGTAAAACATTTGAAGAAAATGACGTGAGCACCTTTTCTTATTTAATTTTAAAAATTTAAGAAAATATTCTCCGTAAATATAATGTTTTATTGAATTTTATAAATTGTAGCATTAAATTTACTATCGTCATGGCTTTTAGTTTCTGATAATGCCGTTCATGGTCGCCCGTACTTACAAAAAAAAAGGTAAGTTTACAATAAAAAATATTCAGAAGTATTTTTTTTTTTTAAATATCGATGTTTGATGATCTGCATTAAGCTTTTTCATTTACGATTATCAAATACAGTTTTTTTTCATTTAATTATATCATCAAAACCGCTGAAATTGATAAAGAATTTTAAAATTTAAAACTCAATTCTTCTAATTAAAAAATAAAAGAAGCAAGTTAAAGATTTTCTAATATCAGTTTTTTGTTGCACTATTTTATGATTCAGAGTAGATTTTCGGTAAATGATGTTTCTGTTTGATAAAAACAAATTGATGATTTAAAAATAAAATGCAGAAGAAGTCCTGCTTTTTGCTTTTATAACTAAAAAAATATAATTTAAATAAGATCCTGGAATTTTAATTTCAAGTGGGGTAATAACAGATGTAAAGAAAAAAGAATTCAAATGTAGTTTCATTTATTTGTGAACAAATGCTGAAAATTTAATTAAAATCAGATAATTATTTGATTTCTGCAAGAATTTACAAAACAATGTTTTTTTAACGCAAAAAGAAAAAGAAAAAAAAAAAAGACGCTAAAAATTGCTCCTAATCTTTGGCCGAACCGCTGATGCAAGAAAAACGATTTTTTTTTTTTATCTTTAACCAAAATTTCGAATGTGTGCTAATCAAAATTAAAAAGTTTAATAAAATACGTTTAAAAAAAAAAAAAAAAAAAAAACCAACTTTAGTACCTAATTTGGGAGGTGTTTTTTTTTTTGGTAAAATTTTTACCGTAAAATTATCCCGTTTTTCTGATCTCCAGATTCTAAGATTTTTGTTGTTGTTGTCAAGTCTTTCTACATTACGAAGTTATGAAGAAAACGTTTTCAAGATTTTTTTTTCGAAAGTAATTTAGAACATGAAAAAGAAAAAAAGTGGTTCACTGGTTCGTTTTTGTTTTTTTTTTAAATCCAGAAAAAATGTTTCCATAAACTAATTTTTTTGTATTTTAAAAAAAAAAAAAAAAAAAAAAAAATTTTCTGAATTCTACAAACCTTCCCTTAAAGTTTGGACATGCCTTCAACACGTGTCATCACTAAAAGTACCATAATTCACATGAATACAAATAGGGCACAGGGACAATTTGTTTGCTTTGTTTTGGGGGGAGGCAGTCTGATGCTGAAAGACCCGAAAGCCCTGATGAACCAGATTATAAAATATCATTTCAACTCCACACAAGAACATAAAACCGAGCATATTTTGAGGAGGTAATGTATGTATGCGTGTATGACTGGGAGGGAATTTCATTGATCAAGGAAACTTTTTGATTCAAAAACTGTTTAAAAAAAACAAGTTATGCGAGGAAAGAGTAAAAAAAACAAATGTAAACATAAAGTTTAATATTTACATTTTTTTTTTTTTTTTACTATTTTAAACAAAGGTCTGAATAAAATCGGGATAAAGAGAAAATAGTATATAGATAAAGGCTCCTATAAATTTCCCCCAACACATATCCAGCAACTTTATGAGATTTAAAAAAAGAAGAAAAAAAAAAGGAAAATGATTTCCTCTCTAGGCCAGGGCCTTCTTGGTAAACTTTCACTTTTATTAAGAACAATATAAAACCAAAGAAAAAGAAAAAAAAGACAAGTAATGTACAGGTGAATTTTTTTTTTTTTTTTTTTTGATGTGAATGATTTCTTATGCGTCATATTTATGACGAAAGCAATTTGAATATCGGTTGAGAGAATACGAAGCGGGAGAAGAAAAAAATGGCCCTTCCCACACATTTTTTCACAACTTTTGGGGCGAAAATACCGCTAAATTTCAGGAAGTTCTCAACAAAAGAAAAAAAAAAAAAAAAAGAAAAGTGTAATCGCCATCTAACATAACTGATATTTTGAAAACAGAAAAAAAAATCGATCAAAAAATTTGTTTAATTTAAGGAAGCTATAAATAAAGATTTAAAAATATTTCCTAGTATTAGCCTTGACCTTCTCCATTTCGACTCGACTACCTTTTTTTCCACATCCAGATCTAATTTCATCATAATTACAGAAATATAAAGAAAACAAGTTAAAATATGTGGTAAGCAAATGGTGGAAAGATTCCGAAGTCTTATTTAAATAAATAAAATAAAACTTAAAATATATTCTAAATTGCAGTTCATGCGCTCGAAACAGTGGAACGTTCAAATGACCTTCGTTAAGAAAAGGGAAAAAGACGTTTTCCATGTGACAAGACATTTCAATACATCGAATGAATAAAGGTTGCTAAAAATTCTGCTGTAATTCAGTATTTGATAAAGATTTGCTTGGCTAATCTAATCCAACTCAAGTACAAAATGAATAAATTAGCGGCTTTTGTTGAAATAGAGAAATGAAATGCGAATTTTTAGGGTTAAAGAAAAGCACATTTACAGCGCACTTGTCAGTGGCTTTTGGTTTTGGAGGTTAAATAAAAGATAAACAAGTGAAGCGTTATTTATTTTTTAGTGCGTGTGTGCGTACGTATGTGATAATAATTGATGTGTTCATGGAGTTGATGACTTATCATTTGCAAATGATTATTAAATTTTTACAAAAAAATAAAAAAATGAATAAGATTCAATCACCGAAAAAAATCAGAGAAAAATGAAGCGACTGATGCCAGGGATGAAATTTTGCAATATTTTTTTTACTTAAACAACTAATCGAATAATAAACTGTCTGTATTTTTAGTCCACTTCTAACATTAACTAACAAAGAAATACAGAAATTTATATTACGTAACGCTGGACGACAATGTCTTCTTTACAAGAAGATTTGAGAAAAGACATTTCCAGGTTTACCGTTTTTACACAAGTAATGAATGAATCTTTTTCAAATCGCTACACAAGTCCGTAACCTAATGGAAAAAAAAGACATTTTTAAAAATCTTACCTTTGTCGAGGCACTTAATTCAGCGGTGAATATTATTATTAATTAACAGTTGAGTAACATTATCATTACGCTAAAAAAAAAAAAAAAAAAAAAAAAACGCGCCTTTAAAAAAAATTGCCATTAGACTCGCTCCAATCTTATTGGCACCCCATTTCTCATTTACGATTTAGATTTTAGAGTTAAAAAAAAAAAAAAAAAAATTAATCTAAATTTGTTATTCAATATGCTAAAAAAAAAAAAAAAAAAAAAATAAATATATATATAAAGTTTTAAAAATGTTGACATGAAAAAAAAAGAAGAAAAATAGCAAAATTGAATTTAAAAATAATTTTTTTTCATTATATATTTTAAATTCAATTAATCAACTAATTAATTTGAAAAATTATTTCGCAACAGCTTGAAATAATGCCGCTAAAATTAAATAAGTTTTAAAATATTTAATTTATAAAAAAGACAACATTAGTAGCATTGTTTATTTCCTAAAGCATGACGGAAGATTAAAGCCAATTATTTTAAAAAGAAAGCAAAAACAATTTCAACAAAACTTGTCATAATTTTTTTTTTTATGACAGTCACTTTAACAACAATTATGTATGGATGTGAAGCATCATGAATTATGATTAATATTTCATTATTTTTCTGTAATTTATCCTCGTTCAGAATCTTTTTCTATGGAACCCAACCACTTTTTTTGATCATGTTTTTTTTTTAAATTTATTAAAAAAAAAAAAAAAAAAAAATTTTTTTTACAGGAGGAATTTTAAAAGGGTAGAAATAAAAAAAAAAAAAATCTAGGATTGGACTTTCTTTTTTTAAAAAAAAAAAAAAAAGAAAATGTTTAAGATTTTTGCCGGTATAAATAAAAAAAAATAAAGAGAATCGGAATAAATTACTTACAAATACAATCATCCAACTAGCAAAAGGGAAAAAAAACTGCGAGGAAAAAAAGTTAAAGCTTAAATGACACGAAGAACTGGGTCTTTTTAATCGTTAGATAATTAAACAAATAAACACTTTTTCTCTCTTCCTCTCTAATCATGAAAAAATAAGCGTGGGGGTAAAACGAGTTGATGTAGCTTCTTACTTGTTGTGCGGGTTTCACTGAAGTGGCACTGAAACATCTTCGAAAAAAGTTATTAGCCGTAGAGATCTGCAAAAAGAGAAACACGAAATCAAACAGAAATAAATAACGATTCTTAAAAAAAATATTAAATAAAATTAGCCAAATAAAAATTATAATAAAGAAATATAAACCTTGAGAAGATGTTGTCCTACCCTGACCGCAGCCATTTTGCTATCCTCTAATGAACAGGACAAACTAGTAAACCGGTGTCACTCCAAAAATAGTTACATCACTAATGTAAGACAGTCTATACGGAATTTTTTAAAATTACAATATTGTGTTATAGATTTTTGCAAGTATAAAAAATGATGACACAAGACTGTGTTGTGAAAAGACGTGTACGAGATTAATATACTTAAATATTAATTAGCGTTAGCTGCTTGAAAAAAAGAAGCATTTTTAAAAGACAATATCAGTCTGCTGACAGAACCGTTTTAAATAAAATTGCTTCGAAATTGAAAAATCCGGATTTTACTGACAAAGCAGATAAGGGCGAATAACAAGGTTGTTTTATCATGTTGACCTTTTCCGTTTTTGTTTGTTGCTAAGGAAAATAAACGTACGCCTTTTCCTCATTACTTGTGTTCTTCGTTTGTTCCAGCTATTTTGAAATAGAAAAATATACAGATAAGAAAGTTTTAATTTTTTATTGTTGACCTGATGGCAACCAAGCCAACGACATTTTCAATCTTTCTAAGTGTTAAAAACGTATAGCTACTCGGAATGAGAATTCGATAAGCTGAGTTTGAATTCCAGTCGATTTACATCCATTTCCCCCGGAGAAAGGTATGGACCGTCTTTTCTCTAGACATGATTGAAAAGCCGTGACGTCCAAATCACGAGTTGCCGAAGACCACCACTGCCAGAATTACAGTAAAGTCAGTGGCAGAATCTAAAAGAGTAGATTTAACATTGGACTGCAACGGTGTCATGCAAAAAGATCATTCATACTGGACAATGGATTATTTAGTCATAATTATTCAGAGTTAGATGGAAACTACGGAGACACACATTGTAGCCGCGTAGCGCCTTCAGTTTTTTTAATAGACAAACAAAAGGAAACCCCTGTGTCGACACGTAAACAACAAGAAGAAATGTAGGGATGTTATGGGACGTCTCGCCGACCGAACTAGTTATAATGGGATAAGTTAAACAATTCAACTAGAAAAACTGAAAATAAATACAATGCATCTAAAATACAAATTAGAGACATAGATAATTCCATCTTAAATAAATCAACAATGTTTTGCGGCAAATTGTAACATCAACTTGAGATTTTTCTTATTAAAAATTAAAGAATTTTAACGCATTCAACATTACGGATAAAAATAGTGATTTTTATATAGCATTTTTTCGAGACTTAAACATGAGCAAAACAAACACAAGGATTTGAACAAAGAAAAAAAAAAAGATCCCAGAATTACGTTAAAATCCGCAAAATGTTTTCATCCTTTTTAGTCAGTTGTGCTTAGTTTAATTTGGAACATCTAGGTAGAAAAGATAAATGTTGATAAGATAGAGAAGGTCACAAAGCACTGCTGGGGGCCTCCAATTAGGTTTATTTTGCTCCTTCCCGGTCGCAGGGCGGGGTGGGGGTCTAGTGCAGTACTTACTGGCCTCTGTAATATGCATAAATGTTTAATAACCTTAGAATGCAGAAATTGAAATAGAATAAGGCTGACGAGAGAGCCTTGAGGAACGTCTTCATGGGTTTCAAAAGTCTAGTCATTCATAACGACCTTCATTGACCTACCTGAGAGAAAGAACTTGATCACTTCAAAAACGTTTCTAGAGATGCCATAGATGACGACGAAGAGTTAGTGTAGCAATAATATTCTTTTTTTTTTTTTTTTTTTTTATCAATTTGCGAACGTATGTGTTGGAATAACTTTTCTTCCTATTCCTTAATTAATATGCACTTCGCTTGGCAGGTTTTGTGACTTTTAATGACCAATCGGCGGAAAGCCGTTTTTATAGGAGACCTAGCCTTTTCGGCGACGCCGAAGTGGAAAGATATACTCCTGACTTGTGAGTAGTGACAGCTCTTTGCAACCTGATGTACTGACTCGTGAGAGAGTCCTTAGCAAGAGAGAGAAACTCTATCTTCTGTCGAGTTCTGTTTTAATCGCAGGACTTAGTTGTAGTTCTTCCTTAATTTTCTAACTGTTCACTAGGGGACGCTTTCCCTACACTATAAATACTGGGCGATTTCTTGCCTCGTTCTCTTTTTCATTTCTTCATTTTCAGTGAACACATCTACAATATAAGCTTTACTGTTGGAGGCCGTAGCCAACATACATTGTAGTGGAAAGTTTGGTGGTTACCATTTATTTAATGGCGTTATCGGGCCAAATCAATTCATACAATTTTTTACTCTGCGAATATGTTAAGCAAAATGCAAAAGCAACAAGATAAAACAATAAGAAACATTTGTGATAAAAGACAAATATTTTAATAACAAGTAATTTTCAATATATTTTTGTAATGAAAATATTTTACAAAAATTTAGTGGATTTTTTAAGGTGAAATCTTTTTAGTTTAATTTATGTTGAACTCAAGTTTGGTGAAAGATTAAATTTTGTTAATGAGTTCTGATTTGAAGGGATGTTTATTAGAATCTGCTATTGAAGATTCTGTAAATTAATTGCAAGAGAAAAATTTACATTTAAGAATTTACTGTTTATGTAAGTAGTAAATGTTTGTAAAGTTGAATGCAATTTTGTGATCAAAGAAGTTATCTACCTTTCATTGTTTGTGTAATACAATGTTCTCGAATGTTGAGAAATAAAGTTGATTTGTTAACAGGAATTTGTTTAAATTCTGCGTAAGGAAATTGGTGAGTGAATGGGAATAGAGTTCACTGGTGAGTTTTGGTGAGTGAGTGTGGATATCATTAAGTTTGTATAATGTTCGTATGAACGAAAAACTTAAGATTGTGTGACGTGAAATTTAATTGCAGTTCGTTTGATGTCACGATGCTCGATATTTATTGTATATAAATACAATTATGGCACAGGGCTGAAAAGGGGAAATGGGTTGAGGCTGGTCTTTACTGACTATCCTATATCTAGCTAATCCGATTTACGACCTATTCACTCATTACAATTTTCGCATTCACCATAAAGACACATCCGTCACCAATCAATCCTCCATACACCATAATACCGCATCCTCTTAGGGGGGCCTACAAAACGCACCCTCATGACATACAAATCTGATGATTACAAAATTTATATACAAAACTGGCAAGTGTGAATGAGTTTCTGTTTTTATTTGCTTCAGGTGGCTCACAGAGACTTAGCGCGAACTTGGATTTCAGTCACGAGCTGTAAAAATTAGTTAAGCGTGGGTGGATAGTCATGTCTATTTGTATATTTATTAACCAATGAGGTCTCGAGAATTTTTTTTTAAGTGTATGAAGTTGAAAGTGTTCTGTGATCCAATTTTTTGCACAGATTTGACCAAACTATTTTTAGGTATTGGAATAATGTAGAATTTGGGTTCTACAATATCATTTTGGAATCAGGCTGACTTCGTGAGAAAATTAAAAAAAAGAACATTCCCGACCGGATTCGGACCTGCAATTCTGAAATTTTGGATTTCCAAGTCTTCATTACTGTGACAATTCTTTTTTGTTTTTTTTGTTTTTTTTTTGTACGATAACAATTTTTATGACTTGAAAATAATCGTAATTAATTTCGAAAGTCACCCATGACATAAAAATAATTGTTTGTACGGAAACTAAGGGCTTCCTTACGTATATCAAATTGTCTTTAAATTAGCGACAGAAGAATTATCGTTGAATTTTTAAGAGTAAGCTTAAGTATTAATGCAATACTTAAATGCAGCGATCAATTTTGTGTTCTTCTGTAGTTTACTCTTGACCTGTCGCATATAATCCTCTTGTAGACTCTTCCACAATACAACCAGCCTTAACTCTTTGTAGGAAATGCACTCTTCCTATCTAGTAAGCCAAATTCTACCTTCAGACAATATAACAAGTATTCATTGGTCAATCACCTCCAATCTGGCTTGCTGATTGGTCAGTTCCGACCAATCAAACCGCCTGCACGCGACTAAGCTGTTTTCCCGCTCATATGCTGTGAGCCACCCGGTGAATATATAAACAGAGAACGTGTGAACCTTGGAGGAGCCAAGTTTCAAGATGTAACATTCACCAACTCCCGTCTTAGTCATTGCTGACCAGACGTTAAAGACAATTACCAACTTCATAGTCAGACCTCTTCACCTAGAGAGAAGCCCATCAACACCACACACCAGTCAAAACTCAGACTTTACCGCGCGAAAAATATTCTCTGACTCACAATCCACGAAAACACTCTCTCTCTCTCTAGAACATTTTCTCGAACTTCACTTACTATACTTTTCAAAGTGATATTTCTCACTACATAACAAGTATCAGTAACTAACAATCCAATTTTCTCGAGCAGATAAAGGTACGCAACTTTGAACAACCTTGAATATTTGTATAAATTGTATATAAATTGATGTTATTGTTATGCATTCAACTTTTGTCTTGTTTTCAACTTTATTTGCATGATTTGTTCCAAGTATTTGTTCTAAATGATTGTTGTGGACGAATGTTGTAGAACACAGCCTCGAAAATCCTTCTGATCAATTTAACACAATAAACAAGTCCGCAACACTCTCTCTACCTATTGTGACACAATTAAGAGCCCTCCGCAGGAGCTAGGTTAAATGCCGCCCGATAGGATGGCTTTTATATATATATATAATAGACGGCTAAAGAGAAATTGGAAGAACGAAAAGGAAGTTTTTATTTTCTAAAAAGAGAATATGCAAATCAAGTATATGACAGCAGTAAGTAAACTAAACACACATTTGTGAGCATTATTGCTTCTTTTATCGCCTAATGATTGTGCGACTGTAACATTTAAACAATTTTATGTTCAAATGAAAGTTTTAGTTTGTGTACAGCAATAAATTATAAATACTGTTTTTCTTTAAATATCTTACTTATAGTTGCTCTGTTTTCGTATATATTTCATACTAGCGGGGATACCCGGCGTTGCTCGGAAGATCTCTGAATAATAGTTTATTATTGACATTTTATTGATATTCTTCTGCCATGTCATGAAAAATAATTCTTTATTCAATCTTTAAAAAATAAACTTTATTGTTATTT